AACGGCACCACCATTCCTGCTACACCAACCGGAAACGGCCCCAATACCGCCGTAGTCAACGGGCAGACCCTCATCTCCCCGAGCATCTATGTCTCATTTACCTCCATCTACGCCTGGAGTAACCGGCGCGCCCACCCCGGAAGCCAATGCGGCGACACGCACACCGACACCATCATCGCCGTGGATCCCGTCAGCGTGTCTTCGGTCCGCAACCACCGCAACGCAAAGTACCCCACCATCGGGACCGCGTATCCGTTCAATTTCGCCGAGTTCATGCCCCAGGAAGTGGGCAATTATACCATGCCACTAATCCCCTGGCCGCAGTACCGCGGAGGATCGCAGTGTCCGCTATATGATCCCTCTTGCACGATGATCCGGGACGATTACATGCCTTTCTTGGATCTTCCTGAGGCGGTCCGCCAGATTGATGCGCTGTGGACGGAGTGTGATGCGCATTGGTATATCCCGCCTGTGACGCTGGTGCCTTTGACCGGAGATGTAAAGGTTCAACCTACGCCGGCGGCTGAGGCGAATGTCATGGCTGCTATGGCGGTGCCGGAGTCGGTGGCGGCTGTGCCTACGCCTGAGGCGACAGGGTGGTAGTGATATGGACCGAGAGAGCTGAAGAGCAAATGAGACTACAAGAGCAGGTGATGTAGTGAGTGAAGGAATGCATGAAATTATGACTAGTCGATACAAGCAAGGCCCCGGTCATTTCTATCGCCTCGTTCCTCGTCAGTCACATTAAGCAGTAGGGCGCTGAGTCCGTAGACAGTTCCAACATGAATAGGTTGCCACATCTAGAACACACTTCCACTCATTATATCCTCTCTCTTACCCAGGTAAAACAACGGAATGTGCTCGATCGGGGCCGGGACGGTCACTGTCTGTCCACCAGCATATGTCTCGTTGGTCCACCAATACGTCCACGGCTTTGTCTCATTCTGACCCGTCTGCGGTAGATACACCTCCCACTCGGTTGCATTTGGCAACGTGACTGGGGTAACAAGCAGCCTCGGACCAAACATGTACTGCTGGGTAGTTGCGTTGACATTCTCCCGCGTCATCTTCGCGATCTGCGGATCTGTCCGCTCAAAATCCATATAGAGTGGCCTCATAATTGACCTCCCCGTCTGATGGAACTGCTCAAACACAGCCTGTATGTACCCCTTGAGCTGATACCGCAGCTGGATATACGAGACAATGATGGGCGTGTTCTCCTCGCCATACGACCACGGTTCGTTGTTGCAGGTGTACGCATTCTGGACATTGCACTTCCTCGACCCGTGTGTTCGCATAAACGGCAGAAAGGTCGCCCACTGGAGCCACCGCACATACAGCTCGCGGTACTCAGGCGTGTCGATGTTGGAGCTCCACGCCACCGTCGGGTCAGCCTGGAACCCTCCTGCATCCATCGTCCACCATCCCCAACCCGTAGCGGCCGCGGACAGCCCACTGGCAACCTGCACAGCCAGCGTATCCCATACTGAAGTCGTATCGCCCGACCAGATCATGCTGCAGAAGCGCTGAGAGCCGATGTATCCTGAGCGACTCAGGCTGATGTGCTCGCATGCGTCGCCCATTTTTGTGCCGGTGGCGTTGCGATATCCCTCCTCGATGGCTTGCTGGTGCGCCCAGGGGTACAGCTTGCCAGCGCTGAGCTGGGTGCCTGCGGCATAGAGAACGTTGGGCAGCGAGAACGGGATGGACTCGATGTATGAGCTCTGTCCGTTGTTCTCGTAGGCTTCGCCGAGCGCGCCGCCGTCGGCTTGGTCGATCCAGAAGTTCTTGATCCCCTTGTCATAGTAGTTGCGCTTCAGCGTCTTCCAGAGAAACGCCCGAGCGGCGGGGTTCGTCGAGTCGATGTTCCGAATGTACGATCCGTTCCAGGAGTCTGTGGTGCCGGGGCCGGATCGCGTAGCGGACAGTAGCCCGTTCGCAATGAGTTCAAGATAGTTCTCACTGTTGTCGGCTACGCTGGGCCAGAGGGACGCCATCATCTCGGCGCCGGTGAGGTCCTTGACTTTCTTCGCCATGGACGCCACATCAGGCCAGAGACGAGGGTCCAAGGCCCAGTCTCCCTGGTGAGCCCAGGATTGGTAGTCGATGACAATCATGGATACCGGGACGTTGTGGTCCTTAAACCGCTGAGCCAGCAGCTCTACCTCGGTTTGATTCTCATACCGCAGCTTCGACTGGATGTAACCGAGCGAGGCTTCGGGAGGCGTGGGCGCACGACCGGTCAGTGCCGACAGCCGCCGCTGCAATGTATCGTAGTCTCCCTTCTCCGTAGCGACAATCGCATAGTCGACCACCGTGGCCGACTCGGCCGTGAACTTGGTCCGCAAGGCTCCAAACTCCATCCGGCCCTCGGACGCCATGTTCCACACAAAGCCGTAGCCCTTGTTACTCACAAACACCGGCGTGGGGATATGCGTGTTGAAGTTGATCAGATCAATCACAGACCCCTTCTTGTTGACCATATGATCCTGCTGCGTGCCCGTGCCGTAGATCTGCTCGTCCGGAGTGGAGCTGAACGAGAACTCGGCGGAGAACTCGCTCCCTGGTCCGCGCCAGAAGTAGTACCTGGGATTGACTGACTTGAGAGGCGCATACTCGTTCGTAAGTAACGTCTCCGACCCGTCCTGTTCTACCCGGTAAAAGGCCAATCGATAGCCTCCCGGGTTCCCGCCCCAACCAGAAGTGCGGACAACTAACCTGCCATTTCGGATAGCCACCGTCCGGTTGCCATTGAAGGCAGTGTCAAAGTCCAAGCCGTGGGCTTTTCCGTCCTCGAAACCCTCGAGAGGCGGGTCGTAGATGAAGCTGACCTCGTTGCCAGTGGGCGGACGATAGGGCCAGGCACGCACGCGAAACCCGTCGTATCCGAATGGCTGAACGAGCACGGTCTCAAAGCCATGCTGCATACGGAAACCCGTCGAGTTGGGCATCACATAGTCCTCCTCGTGGGTTTGTATGGGGTTCGCCCATACCGTGGATACGGCGCAGATGCCGATCAGCCAGCGATGGATAGACCACATCATTGCGGTTGGCTATTGTTATGGTCCTGATCTCGCAGTAAATGCATGGTATTTAAAACTGCAGCTGAATTTATCCGTCCAGAATGAAATAGGCTGATATTAATGTTGTGTGACATCAGTTGTGCAGGGTGTATGCAAGGATCGACATCGTTGGCCCCCTTGATAGGCTTCGGGAGCAAGGCCGAAACTGTAGCCATTCAATCAGCCCCGCGAACTGAGAAATGAGTGTGCGGGGTGGTTCTACGAAGGGATATCATTCTCTTTTCGGCGATGATAGTTATCGTCGGGGTGTGGCATCTCAGCTGAAATGATTACCTAGGTAACTGTGTGTATTCTGCTATCAATGGGTTGTTTAACGCATTCGGATTATTCGGACAACATGTCCAGAGCCACGTCTCTCGTCTAGTATCTGATCGATCGTACAGCTCGTGAAATGCAAGGCTTTGGCGACATGTACCTCGACAACAATATCCTCCAGTGAGGGGTTGTGGGTCTTTGGATATCCGGCTGCACCGTAGTCTGATGGAGATGGTATGAATATAGCCTGATATCATTGACTCGCAACTCATTACTGGTATGCTTGTCTTCTTAAATGGACATGATGTAATAATAGAGCGCTGTAGTCCATTTTGACAAGCTTTGTGGCCGAATAAGAAGCAGCCACAACCGAAACATGTACTCTCACCTTGACTAGTTTGTGGATGGGAGATACAGGGTCATCATGCAAGAGCTGCCATAGGATGTTTGGGACGACTTGATTAACAGCAAAATTATAGATGCTAATTAGAGACTGCTATACCCTAACTATGTAAGAAAATAGGATTAGCACTCACTATATATATGTATATAGTATAATAGAAGATTGTTTTATTTATCCTGCTTTTATTATTCTCCCTACCTATCTTAATAAAAATACCATTATCTAGTATTAGAAGGCTACACTAAGTAACTACTATTAGCCAGAATTAAGCTAGAAGGCAAAGTAATAATAGTATTATTAAATCTATATACTCCCTTTCAGAGCTAAGCTAAGATATAATCCCTAGCAAGTTACTCATATGCTCTGGAACTAAGAGATAACATCAAGAGTCCTACCAGCGGGATTAGAATGTCAGCAGATGATGTGGAAGTGTCTATAGAGACTCTCAGCAAGGAGGAGAAGAAGCGGAAGAAGAATAAGAAAAGGGGATCTAGTCCTTATTATGATAATCCCACTCCTCTTGAACCTCCTCAACAGCCAATCGAAGAGCCTGTCGCTGAAGACGCAGCTCCTGAATGGAACTACTGGATGCACTATCACCAAAAGACCTACTGTTGAAGTACTAAAGTCACTGAGCAGCTAGATCTCTTTCTCGGTGAGTGTTTCCTGATGACTTGTCCAATTTACCCTTCAGGGTCATTAGCCAGCAAGCATTGGAGTCACATGTTGATAGCGTGCGTTGGAACGGATCCTCTTAATTACCACATGCGTCCCGTCTGCTTCAACTGCTTGATGTGGCCTGTTTTGGGTCATCATCACAGAAGCTATACAGTCATTAGATCTAAGATCTTAGTCATTGGAATATGAACACGCGGTTTGCCTACGCATACACAGAGGCCAGGGGACATATCTCCAACGAAGCTCAAATTAGCACAATTGCCATGGCATACTAAACTAGATACTATGCCTGACTCCGTAGAAACTAGACATCCCCATGTCAGAACTCGGTGACCGCGTCGCGATTTGAGCGCCAAGAAGGTGTCGATGTATTTCGGTCTGAAAATTACCGTTAAGCAGAACTTGTTAGATCTCATCTTTAACTGCAGCCTCGCCCTTTATCGCGCCACATACAATTTGCACGGTTCTGTGTCGGAGAATCTTCAGTTCACTAAAGTCTCCGTGGCCAAGGCATGGTTCTGGGCTAACATGTGGCGTACAGATGCATTCGGGGACTTTGCGCAATGCCATCCTCATTATCGCTAGCAACATGTGCCCTCAAAAAGCTGCCCCCATTTGCTGGCCAGCTCCCTTGTATCCACCCCACAAGACTGCAACATATCCCAAATGACAGTGCTGACTGTGTCAAATATTGCGACCTTATATTTTCTTTCCCACTGTGCCACTCGCTGAGCGGCCTGGAAGTTTGTGCAAAATGTTGTCACAGCCTCTACCCCTCCATTGACTACTGTCGACACACTGTTCTCCAGAGTGGCGGCGTCAATCATACCAATGGCCAAGTTATCCGAAAGTCCAAGGTGACTCTCGCAGCTTATATCAACACCAATAGAAGCATAATTGCGTATGATTGATTCTTGCACATCGTGCAGATATGGTGAGACGAGACCCAAGTTCCGAATGCCGAAGATTTGGAGAGCTTTGTTCAACGCAAGCACCGATGTTGTTGCGGGAATGCCTGTAACAGTTTGGATCTTGGAGCAAAGGTCTTCATCCGCCTGGAATCCCAGCCAGCCTGAGGAGTTGCCGCCCCAGCCGATAATATCAACTTTGGCGTCAGCAAGAAGCTTTGCAGCATTGACAATGATATCTGTTTGGAATTGACTGAGAGATCCGTGGCCAAGGTTGATTCTCGTCATAGTGAAGCGAGAAAAATGGACACTGACGTGAGGAAGATCCGAAATGATCGACTGGGCCAAGGGTTCAAGGGCAGTGTTAGAAGATGGGACAAGAATCCCGAGGCGGATGCACTTTGCCATGTTGACTGTCAGTTGACGGGCGCAGACGGCACCTCTCCAGCAGAGCGTGGAGTCTAGAATGCTCAAGGTCGAGATGAATTGATAAAATGTTGTTTCATATATTTATGAGACCATCTTCTCAGATAGAATGATCGGGAGAAGGTGAGCCAAGGAGAGCTATGAGTCAGAGCTGCGAAAAAGATGTCCCCTTTCATAATCTTGCCCATAAACCTTCCTGATTCGAGAAGAGCTCGTAAATAATCTTTTCACGACATTTGATACGATCTAGGCGGACAGAAATCAGGCAATGTTATTGGCAGGTGGGGGCAGGATTACGAGCGGGACGGGGTTACGGGGCATGGGGAGGGTAACGAGATAAGAGAAGGGTCAAGTCTCTAGTGATTTATCGCTTCCATACAAATTTCTAGTGATAACCGAATCTGGTAGGGTACTGCGATTCCTGATAGCTACTCGCAGGAGGTATGAAGTTGGTATCAAGCTGACACTTTATGGGGCGACTAACTTACCGTGCGGGGAATTATGTTAACCAGCCTCTACGGATGCGTAGAATCTCTCAACACTAGAACATCATCAAAGGAATAATCCGGCCGACTCGGAAGAAAGGTTCGTATGGATGTGTTCCTCAGCCCTCTCATCCTATATCATCCTCAGGACGTGGTAACTGGACTCTCATTAACAACGTTGTTTCGGAGAACAGCTACTTTCCTCTGAATCTCTAAAGTACCGTCACTTGGCCTTCCAGGCGAATTAAAGGAGGCACTGCTTCCTGAGTCTCCTGGTTTCTGAAGTCATTCTGGGACCGAAGATGACACACCCAAGCATAGCGCAGATGCCTGACAAGGCTACTCAGTAACAATCTTTTCAATTAGATCTAACGAACTCAGGACGATTACAAACTTAAAAGAGGTCTGTTAGCTTGCTAAGCTATCCTACCCCTTGCGTTGCACCTCAAGGGTCACTTATCGCTGCCAGCAAGCATACCTTTTGACACATCTCGTCTGAGAAGGTAAGCGGCATTGTCAATATTGCTTGGCCATTGTGCTGGGATTCAACTGTTATATGTGTGGCTTGATATGACCTCTTTAGAACTCTGAGGACCCGAACTACTGTGCAATAGGGGTGTTCCTAGATGAGGGATGTCTCGATTGTGCAATCTAGCAATATCTCCGGGACTATCTTTGGCTTTGGCATCCTGCATCTTCAGTATGTTGGCATCTGGATGCTTTTCTTGCTTTCACATTGTTGTGAGTGTGGATACACAGAATGCACTTTTCTACTTGGTTAGTCTATGTACCTCTTGTAGTGAGCTTGGAAACGATAAAGAAACTGGGTAGCGATGGATGATTGGCTAATGACGTAACAGCTGAGCAGCGCGTTCACCCGACCCGCCAATCATATGTCTTGGATTCTGATTATCGGCCAATCAGATAGCGCAGATGGCCTGTTCGGGGGCTAGAATTGCCTGGAAGAGTCCACCAGTCCACCTCTCTATGTCCTTATCTCCTCGACTGCAAGATTGTTCAAGGCTGTGTCTGGCATCCCTGAGTCTAATCTACCTCAGACTCACCGGTGATGGAGAACTAAGTGTTCGTCCAGGTGGGATACCTCATCTTGCCCTCTGAACACGTTGAGTGGCGGTCTTGCAGCTACAACGTCATCCCGTTGATGCACAGACAATCGGTTCAGGGACCTCCGTTGCAGGGGCAAAAACTGAGTATCATATTGGCGGAACCATGATCAAGAGTGGGCGGCCGGAGTTGCTTTCCCTGAGAACTGTGCTGTATATGCCATGGTGACGGAAGGATCCATTGATGGGTCTTTATCATGGAGGTGATGGCCACCACCATGCTATAGACCGGTTATGTGCTTGGATGGAATAGTAAGATAGCTGACATCAGGAATACTGCAATAGCGTAGGGTGAAATAATCTTCTGGCTAAGCCGAAGGAATAGAAATAGAATATAAAAGAACCTCCCAGACGGTCACGCGTGAATACAGCCAAGCTCAACGCATTTCCTTTTTTAGCAAAGAGTACTTCGTCCTTTTCTTCACCATAAATCAGAGCCCTCGACATTCACTCCTCCCAGAGAGGCCCTTCTCCCAGAGCCCCTTTGCACCAGAGTCCCTCTTAAAACAATCACCATGTCCACTACTGCGTCGGTTGTTGTTACAAGCCGTATGTCTGCACATCAGACTGAAGCGACGAGACATGGCTAACTGTCTGTCAGCACCTACTCCTCCACTGTCCCGGAAGGTAACTGGGGATGCGCTTCAGGATGAATTCACAAGGCTGCGAGAACTGTTCACTGTTGATTCTGCCAAGCTGAAGCAGATTACTGACCACTTTGTCCATGAACTTGAAGTTGGTAAGTACGATTCACATTTCCTGACTGTATCAAGACATGAATGCTAATGGGTTGCAGGGCTCAGTGGCCAAGGCGGCGACATTGTATGTCATTCCCGCCTATTATCCACCTCCTAGAACACAGACTAACTGGAACAAACAGCCAATGAACCCAACATGGGTAATGCAACTGCCCCGCGGCGACGAAAAGGGATCCTTCTTCACGATGGACATGGGAGGCACCAACTTTCGCGTCTGCAAAGTGACACTAAAAGGCACCGCGGGCAAGTACGACGTGGTCCAAATGGACAACAAAATCCCCAAGTCGTTGAAGTCTGGCACCGCAGAGCAACTGTGGCACTACATTGCCGACTGCCTGCAGCAGTTTGTCGATCGCTATTCCATCTCGCAGAAGGAGCTCGCCGAGACGCCTCTCGCCTTTACGTTTTCCTACCCTGTCACCCAAACGTCCATCTCGCATGGCATCCTCCAGCGATGGACCAAGGGATTTGACATTAAGGGTGTCGAGGGGACGGATGTTGTTGCTGGGCTGCAGAAGGTTCTCACGGAGAAGGTCAGTACTGCTTCGGTACCTCGGCATAAAGCGTGATATTAACTTGACTAGGGTCTCCCTGCTCGGATTGTCGCCTTGGTCAACGACACAGTCGGCACATTGATGGCGTCTTCTTACGTCGACCCCAAGACCGAAATCGGTAGCATCTTTGGCACAGGCAGTAACGCAGCGTACATGGAGCGGTGCTCCAAGATCCCGAAACTGGCCGATCAGCGTCTACCAGACGACGCATTCATGGCCATCAACTGCGAATACGGCGCCTTTGATAACAGCCAGCGAGTGCTCCCATTTACTGACTACGATGCCGAGATCGATCGCGCCTCGCCCCGCCCCGGTCAACAGCGATACGAGAAGATGGTTGCGGGATTCTACCTGGGTGAGATCTTCCGGCTCATCCTGCTGGATCTGCACAATCGCAAGGCGATCTTTGACGGTCAGAATTCCTCCAGACTAAACGAGCCGTATGTGCTGGATTGCTATTTCCTGGCGACTATTGAGAGCGACGACTCCGGAGATCTGCGGACAGCCAAAGATATCATCGAGAAAACACTCTCTATCACGCCTACTCCGTCCGTGCTACGCTTCTGCTACGACCTGGCGCACATGATTTCCTTGCGGTCGGCGAGGTTATATGCGTGCGGCATCGCGGCGATCATGAAGAAACGGGGATTGGATAGCTGTCATGTCGCTGTGGATGGATCCGTATTCAACAAGTATCCATGCTTCCCGGAGAGAGCGATTGGTGCGCTGAGGGAGATCCTGGAGTGGCCGGCCGATACCCCGGATCCGATCCGGTTGATTCCTGCCGTGGATGGCTCCAGTGTTGGAGCTGCGGTGATTGCGTCGTTGATCAGCAGGTCGGAACAATCGTAAACTATTGCTTGTCTTTTGGATATGTTCTTGTCCTGTCGCATGGTGTTGGCGGCGTTTCTGTGTCATACATTTCATAATGTTGGTAATATTAGATTATAGGAATACGATATGTCTCGATAGCTAAGCTGTCTCATTGATCCATAACCTCAACTACCCTTAATGCTATCAGAACTTAGAAATCTCCCATTGAAGCATCTCCGGACACTCAAGCGGAAGCAAATGCTTCACCCCAGCGACACTCCTCATCGATACCTGGATCGCACTGCGCTCAAAAAACCGACGAACCTCCTTATCCACCCGATCTTTTGGTTCCACGACATCGGACTCTCCAACCAAAATGCTCACCCGGAGCTTCTCCCTATCCATCGACTCCAGAGCCCTCGCAACTGCGTCAGACACATCCTCCGGCATACCGTACGTCGGCCACGCCCTCTTGGCCAGCTGATTCCACTGCAAGCTGTCGCGAACCACCATCTCGATATCCTTTTCGTCAAGATTCTCCGGATTCGCGAGGACATGGCTGACCGACCAGCGGACGGACTCTGCGCTTTCGTACGCCGCTTTCTGTTGTTCTTGCATTTCCGGCGGCAGGAGTAGTGGCGTTGGGGGCGCCGGAGCGACCAGAACTAGTCCTCTGAGACAGTTGAGTAGGTCGCGTGGCAGTACTGTTAGAGTCGCCATCGCGACCTTGGCTCCCATGGAGTGGCCGATGAGTACGAATCCATGCTTCAGGACATCGTTCCTGTCTTGGTCTGCCGTGAGCTGTTGCAGGACCAGAGCAACGTCATTTGCCATGGAGGAGATGGAGTAGGCGCTTTCATCGTCCTGGGATGGTCCGGTTGACTTGCCCCATCCTCGATGATCGATTGCGATGATTGGATATTCTGAGCTGAGCGAGGTAGGGGAGTCTGGCGATGTGAGTTTGTACCATGTGGACGACGAGCCGCCCCAGTAGTGGAGGAAGACCAGGAGGGGTTTGTGGTGGTCGACGGCTGGTTGAGACATACAAGCATGTATCGACACGTCTGGACTGTGGCGGAAGATTATTGAGTCCATGCTGTCTGAATTGATTGCTTGACTGAGGTGGATGTGTGGAATATTCGACTATGGCTATTCACTGCGTCGGGAGGGATTAAATAGTCTTCTAGAGCCACCTAATATTGAAGGCATGACTCTGGTATTAATTCCAATATTAATAAAGAAGCATCACGCTATGTTGCCTCTCGATCAATATTGACGGCAGTACAACCAATAAGTTGACGCTTTTCAGTCAGATCTCGGATTTTCGGAGTTTCGGAGGATAGGTACATGCATTCGGACTTTGATGCTTGAAACGAGACTACAAAAGAAATCAGATTCATCAACCTGAAAACGAGAAAAACAACGCCACATATGTACAGCCTAAATTTTGTCAGAGAAATATGCCATCGACCCTAATCCTTTGGTTGATGAGCCGGTCCGCGTCCCACCCGATCGCCCTGACCAGCTGGACTGCCGTACATTGTCTCGACCTCTTTCTTCGACACCAATGGCTCGTTCTTGCTGGGCGATTGGGCTCGGAAAGCGAGGTAACCACCGGCGATCACGGCGAAAATACTTAGAAAGGCAATGTTACGGGAGCTGGAAGCGATCTGTAAGTAGGGGACCCCTGGTAAGAGTGTGGCCGATAGCACGTACCTGGTTGCTGGAGGACGACGACCATTTGTAAAATTTCCAGAGTAAGCAGCCATTTTAAGATCAGATATCAACTTTCAATTGATTAGAATTATCAATAGGTCATCAGTTGAGGCGTTATCACGTAGACAAGACATCCTTTACATATATACAGTCTCAAGTCACCAAGTAGTGACGTCAAAAGCACCACTCATGAGCGGATCCATGTGGTATGATCGCGATCCATCTTTAATACAATATCATATTCAAAGGTACACTAAAGTGCTGCTAGCATTCTTCCCACGTTTGACCGAATGTAGGCTTGCGTCAATGCGACGTAGGGCTGCGGATGTCGTCTTGGCTGTTTTCGCCATCCCCGGGGTGGCACTTCTTGTTCTTCTCCATGGCACACAGCTGCTGCTTTAGAGTACGACATATTTTCTAGCTGGTATCTACTATATTGTCTCTCTTTCTTGATGTTGATGTCCGAGGGAGAATATTATAGCTACAGGGCGTAACCATACAATATTACCGTTATATGTATTTGAAGAGGACATGCCACCATCATATCCCAGAGTTCCTAGCTGAATACTACTTGCAAGACAGTTCTATCTCTATTTCACATCATAATCCTATGTCCGAGAAAAAGCAAAGAGACAAAATTGAATATGCTCATGACCTTAGCCTGAACAACCGGGCTGAGTGAAAGTAGCCCTGAAGATGGACTCTGTTGAGGCCGTGCTGCCTAAGAAATTTGGCAGAGGATTCAGCCTGAAGAAAGCGGCATCAATTGAATGATTATTCAGCAGTCTCCAGTTCTTCACGGTTCATAATCATTTTACCCCATATGAAATACAGTCGATCCCCTAAATCTGCCAAGTACCCCAGCTATGCTTGATGATGCTTGTCTTTCTCAGTTCCAGAGTCAGTATTGCCGACATTTGAACTGATACCAATTGCCTCTTTGGATAGGACTCAGCTGAAAGGATGAGAACGTAATTTCCGCAGTGGGCCAAATATACCAATCATCTCGGTGCCTCCTCTGAACCGACCCTTGCGCCGAGTTTCAGAGTCAGCCGCTAACGATACTATTATTCATGATTACTTGAAAGACTATGTAGCGAGGACGAGACAGGATATTAAACTATAATCAAACAAAACGTGAAGAATATCATATAAGCCTTCCTGATCTAGGCCTACAATTGACTGTTCCATTGGTGGATGCCCCTGCGTTAGAGTCGTTACGATTAGACCAATTCCCCAACTCAGATTAGCGAGGTGACATTGTACCTGCACTAAGTGCGGGCGTGCTTATTATGTGCCAGCCATGTCGCATCCGAAGCGACCCTTCATCTCTACAATATGTCTACTAAACCTTCAGCTTGTCCGAAAAGGGTAACCCACGCCCGATGGCAGACAAATGCTGCAATGATTGGTACAGAGTGCTTCAGCTCATTGAGCTAAACTGCCCCTATACAGCTTGTTCAAATCTTCAGTTAGAGGACAGGCCAGCTCCCATGTATAAATACTCCAAGATGTAGTGGTAACCTGCTCCATGGCCAGGACAGACACTCTTTTCATCCTCTCCTTTCAAGGCTGGCCCTGTCGCAATGGCGAGGTTCGCTTGGCTTCTGGCCTCGAGTCTTTCTTTCTCAATTCTTTCTACAGCTTTTCCGGCTGGCACTCATTTTCAAGCTCCTACCAACTATAGCACCTTCAATGTCGAACAATGGGTCCCTTCTCTTGACTATGTTCCCCACAAACAGTAAGCCCCCTTTTCTCGCCCGTAGCGTATGTGAAATCTGACAAGAATATAGAACCATTCCTTTTCCAATTCAAAACAAGACTGCCCGTCCCTGGGACCCGGTTCCTCAAGGCTCTACGGGAAACCTGACAAGCCATGATAACCAGAAAAGAGCAAGCTGTGGAGGTCCGGCTCCGGACCATCCCAGCAAGTTCTGGCTGGAGACGATTGCTCACAATGGAGAGTCGTCGTTCTTGGACTCGACCTACAAGCACAACTACAAGGTCTTTCGAAATGTGGTGTCTGACTTTGGAGCGGACAACACCGGTGCTAAGGATGCGTCTGCTGCCATTCAGAATGCCATCAACGGTATGCCTCTGTCTTGCTCGTATATAGACGGAAAAGTTGCTAACTGACATAGCTGGGGCCTCCAACGGCCCTAACCGGGCTAGCCACTCCATGGGCACCACTGGTCAACCTGCAATCGTCTACCTCCCGGCCGGGACGTACCTGATGGAGAGCAGTCTCCAGCTCTACGTGGGTACCGTCATTGTGGGCGATGCCCTCAATCCACCTACTCTCAAGGCCAGCGCAAACTTTCCCAACGATCATATCATCTACGGAAAAGACCCCGCCCTGGGCGGTACGATCAACTTCTACATTGGCTTCAAGAATTTGATTATTGATTCCACGGCCGTTGCTGCTTCCAAGTCAATCACGTTGCTGGATTGGACTGTCTCGCAGGCCACGCAGCTAACGAATGTCGTCTTCAACATGCCAAACTATTCGAACCATGTTGGCGTGACAAGTCAGTATGACTCGAACAGCAATATCATTCTGGTCAGTTTGATTATCATCATGCAAGAATACTTGTTGACTTCTATAGAATGATCTTACTTTCAATGGTGGTGCTATTGGCATGGAGTTGAGCGGCCAGCAATGGATCCTCAAGGGCATCACTATCAACGGGGCCAACGTCGGTATCAAGGCCGGAGCATTTCAGCTCGTCTGTCTGGACTGCAATCTCTCAAATGGTGCTACAGGCATCGATGCCAGTGGAATCTCTGGGTCGCTGACCGTCATCGACTCCAGCGGCAATTCTCTCGGCAACATGATCGTCTCCTCCAACGCCGGTGGTAGGGCTCAGAACTCGATCATCCTGGAGAATGTGCAGTGCACCAACAGCGGCAGCACTGTCTCCCTCAACAACAATGCGGTCCTCTCCGGCTCGGTGGCAAACACCTGGGTGCATGGAAACATGGTGAGTCGATCCCCCCTGGTTTGTTGCATCTGCCCGCTCACACGATGTTAGTACTCGGGAGGCGCTGCCACCCCTGCGAAAGAGCAGGGCGCGCGAGTCACCACGCCTCGCGCGAATGTTCTGCTCGGAGCCAACTCCAAGTACTTTACCATGGCACCGCCGACATACGCTCAGTACTCTTCCAGCCAGTTTATCAATATCAAGACTGTGAGCGGTCTTCCTGTCATGGGAGATGGCGCCACCGACGACACGGCGAACATCAACGCCATCTTGGCCCAGTATGCCGGCTGCAAGATCATTTATTTCCCTGCCGGCACGTACATCGTGACGGGGACGATCTTTGTCCCCGCTGGTTCGATCATTGTCGGAGATGCGTATGCCTCGGCGATCAGTGCTACAGGCTCCAACTTTTGGAATCCTTCTGCCCCGACGACAATGGTCAAGGTCGGGAATGCCGGCGACGTGGGCGTCGCCCAGTTCACCGATATGATGTTTACCGTGGCCGATGTTCTCCAGGGCTGCAAATTGGTAGGCCACCATCGCTTTGTCTGAAGCTACCGCTAACTTTAGACAGGTCGAGGTAAACATTGCCGGTGCAGCTCCTGGCGACGTGGGATTCTGGAACACGCATTTCCGTATCGGCGGTGCAGTCGGCTCCAAAGTCCAAACCAACTGCTATGGCAGTCCCGACCAGTGCAAAGCCGCCTGGGGCCTGCTCCATCTGACCAGTACCTCCTCGGCGTATATCGAGAACATGTGGGGATGGACCGCAGACCACGACCTGGACGGCAACGGTGGCACAACCACCGTCGCCACCGGCCGTGGTCTCCTCGTCGAAGCCACCAAGGGCACCTGGCTCGTCGGAACGGCCATGGAACACCACACCCTCTACCAGTACAACTTCGAGTACGCCCAGAACGTCTTCTCCGCCTTCCAGCAGAGCGAAACCCCCTACTGGCAGGGCTGGGGCAGTCCCGATCTGGCCCCTGCGCCATGGTCCTCGAACCTGATCGCCAGCGACCCGAACTATAGCAGCTGCGATGCCAACGATGCAGGATGTCGTATGGCGCTCTTTGAGCGCATCCGCGGCTCTTCCAACTTGTTCCTCTATGGAGGCTGCGTCTGGGCGTTCTTCAACCACAACGGTGGCTGTAACGGAGACTGCCAGGCGAACGCCGTTCGCATCCTGTCGTCGGCTGGCTCGGTGTATCTTTACGGCACCAACGTCAAGGCGATCAGCAACATCGTGCTCGAGAACACTTTTGCCGCCGCAAAGGAAAGCGACAACTCTGGCGGATGGGGCGGCGTCGTCGCTGCGTATCTCCACAATGCGGGCACAAGCAGTCGCAGGCGCAGGTCCGGCGATGTGAATGGTGCAGCGGTCACCGGTAACGGGTT